TGACAGGCAGCCCGGCTCCTGCCCGCAGGCCCCTGGCCCTGGCCCTGCAGCGCTATCGGAGGACAGCGAGATCAACGCACCCCTCTCCTACCTTGAGCTGGGCTCGGCGCTGGCGATATCCCAACGAGAGTAACAGCCCTCCATGCAGCTGCCCCAGAAGATGGATGAGAAAAGAAGTAAGCCTTAAAAAAATGTTTTGAACAGTCACTAGGCAGATCTTGTGAAAAACTCTTACAGGAATCAACAGTCCTAACCTCTTTTCCCAGTCAGCCGAATGAAATTTCTGTGCCAGAATGAATGGAAGTGTTTTATCAGTTATAGCATAGAAACGATTGAGTAGCTAACTTATAAGTAAGGTACATTTTATGCTCTCTGTGTCATTAGTGGTGATAGTCAGAAATTTGGTATCTTCAATGCGGTTGAAAAATGCTGCCTTACTTTTCCTTAGTGTTACTCCAGTGGAGATATCTTGTGTTACCTTGCATCTGTTGAGAAACAGATTCAGTAAATTTTTTACCTAATAAAGCCTTCATTTTTCCTAAATAAATTAGCTTAGTTGCAGTACTGCGGTACTGACAGCATTAATTTAAAAAAAAAAAGAGAGAAATGTGAGCTGATATAATGAGTGCTGCAACGGACAGCTATAAACTCTTTAGAAGGAATAGGCAAGGAAGGAGAGGCGGTGGCGTAGCCCTGTATGTTAGGGAGTGTTTTGACTGTCTAGAGCTTGAGGATGGTGACGATAGGGTTGAGTGTTTACAGGTAAGAATCAGGGGGAAGGCCAACAAGGCAGCTATCATGGTGGGAGTCTGCTGTAGACCACCCAACCAGCATGAAGAGGCTGACAGAATATTCTATAAGCAGCTGGGAGAAGTCTCACAATGACTAGCCCCTGTTCTCCTGGGGGACTTCAACTTACAAGATATCTACTGGAAATACAATACAGCGGAGAGGAAACAGTCTAGGAGGTTCCTGGAGTGTGTGGAAGATAACTTCCTGACAGAGCTGGTGAGGGAGCCAACTAGGGAAGGCGCCCTGCTGGACCTTTTGTTTGCAAACAGAGAAGGCCTGGTGGGTGATGTGACGCTTGGAGGCCGTCTTGGGCATAGCGATCATGAAATGGTAGAGTTTTTGATTCTTGGAGAAGTGAGGAGGGCGGTCAGCAGAACTGCTACCTTGGATTTTTGGAGAGCAGACTTTGGCCTGGTTTTGGAGCATGGTTGACAGAGTCCCTTGGGAGGTAGTCCTGAAGGGCAAAGGAGTCCTGGAAGGCTGGACATTCTCCAAGAAGGGAATCTTACAGGCACAGGAGCAGGCTGTAGCCATGTGCCAAAAGACGAGCTGGCAGGGGAGAAGACCACCCTGGCTGAACGGAGAGCTTTGGCTGGAACTCAGGAAAAAAAGGAGAGTTTATGAAGTTTGGAAGAAGGGGCAAGCAACTCAGGAGGACTACAAGAATGTCATGAGGTTATGTAGGGAGAAAATTAGAAGGGCCAAAGCCCAACTAGGACTTAATCTGGCTACTGCTGTAAAAGACAATAAAAAATGTTTCTATAAATACATTAGCAACAAAAGGAGGGCTAAGGAGAATCTCCATCCTTTATTGGATGTGGGGGGAAACATAATGACAAAGGATGAGGAACAGGCTGAGGTACTTAATGACTTCTGTGCCTCAGTCTTTAGCAGTCAGACCAGTTGTTCTCGGGGTACCCAGCCCCTGAGCTGGAAGACAGGGATGGGGAACAGAATGAAGCCCTCATAATCCAAGGGGGAATGGCCAGCGACCTGCTACACCACGTAGACACACACAAGTCTATGGGGCCGGATGGGATCCACCCAAGGGTTCTGAGGGAGCTGGTGGAAGTGCTCACCTGTCTGGTGAGTACCTCCCCTCACCTAGTCCTGGCTAACCGGGGAGGTCCCAGTTGACTGGAGGTTAGCAAATGTGACGCCCATCTACAAGAAGGGTCAGATGGAGGATCTGGGGAACTACAGGCCTGTCAGCCTGACCTCGGTGCTGGGGAGGGTCCTGGAGCAGATCATCCCGAGTGCCATCGTGTGGCACATACGGGACAACCAGGGGATCAGGCCCAGTCAGCATGGGTTCATGAAAGGCGGGTCCTGCTTGACTAAGCTGATCTCCTTCTATGACAAGGTGGCCCACTTAGTGCATGAGGGAAAGGTTGTGGATATTGTCTACCTAGAATTTAGTAAGGCCTTTGAAACCATTTCCCACAGCATTCTTCTGTAAAAACTGGCTGCTCGTGGCTTGGATGGGTGTACTCTTTGCTGAGTAAAAAAAAAGGTTGGATGGCCAGGCCCAAAGAGTTGTGGTGAATGGAGTTAAATCCAGT